GGGGAGAGGAGGGCAGGGGGAGAAACAATGACGAAGGAAAGCAGAATGGAAGAAATAAACGGGAGATCATCATCGCCTAAACTGATGAACGAATGGGCAAAAGAATGAAGCGAATCTAAAAAAGAGCACCGAGGAAGATGGAGGGTCCGGAAAGGAGAGAGGGAGGAGGTAAAGAAGGGCAAAAAAAACGCAAAGCCTGGGACTGGACACAGGTAATAAACGCAGACCCGCATTCTCCTTCCTACACATACACACGCCCCCTTCCCAAAAACTGTTCGGAAGGCTACGCGACATTGCGTCCTTCGATAACACTCGGTTCTCTCCTCTCTGCACTCTCCTTCACTTCAATCAGGATACTCTAGCGTCCACTACGAGGACTACCAGGGTGAATAAAAGGTGATACGCACAAAAAGAAAAATTAGGGGGGAGAGAGAGAGAGAGGGAGAGGAGAGGAGGACGGAAGAGAAAGGCCACAAAAGAGGACGAGATTGACGAGAACACAAAAAAGGAGAAAGAGGAAGAGGAAGGCGAGGGAGACGAGGAGCACGAGAAAGACGAGGAAGAGAAATACGAGAAGGAAGACAAGGACACCAGATTTGCGTGGCGCGCAATAGAAGATTGCGCCGCAGAAAAAGAGCGTTATTACAGTAGTGCTATTGAGTGAACAAATGGCTTGCCCTTGCCCCAATTGTCGACTCTCCCGTTGGATGTGATGCCGACTCGGGTAGAAAAACAAGGGGGAGGGCAAGAAGAATTTTCCTCCGCGACCATTCCTTCGTACGAGAGAGGGGGAAGAGAGAAAGGGGAAAGGGAAGATGCAAGAGTAGAGCTGAAGAAAACGAAAGCTTTCAAAAGATGGAAGAGACTGAAGAAAAAAACGAAAGCCTTTCCGAAGAGAAAAATGCTGAGAGGGTAAAGGGGATGAGAAGGGGATTGTTAGAGCGAAAGGTGGAAATATGGAAGAGTGAATGGACGAGGAGGATGCCTATGATGATCATAAAGAAGGAGAGAAAATGACGCAGGAGAAGGATAACCAGAAAAGTGGTACCTTACGGCGAAGAGTCTGCGCCGCGAAATGCTGCAACTCCAACTGCGCGCCGAAAACGTTCTCGCTGCTCAGAATGTCATTTGCCACCTGCCAAGCTGCTCTCTCTCTCTGAAACTTCATCAGCCATTGATTGGCGGCGGCTTGCCTTGCCACGTCGAAGTCATGGTACAGACTCTGTACCGCGCTCAACACTTGCATGCGCATATCCACCATTGCCATCGATTACTATCAACCGCTCAAAACTAATGCAATCCCTAACCCCTTCCTCTCTCAACACACTGCTTTTTCTTTTCCCCTCCTCGTCAACAACGCGCCTTCTTCTCCCTCTCCTCCACAACCGATCGCAGAATCCTCTGTCTCTCTCTCTCTCTCTCTCTCTCTCTCTCTCTCTCTCTCTCTCTCTCTCTCTCTCTTGCGTGCGTGCGTGTTTCACACGGTAATCTCGCCGAAATATCAACACACTGTTTTCTTATCGCGTTCCCGCTCACTTACTTAAGAGGAAGAGCGGAGAACTTTGAAGATCTACAGGAGACCCTTTCCTACCCTTTCCTTCCCAGGAATGAGTACATTCCCCGTATTTTCGATTTCTGCTCAAGAACTAAAACTGTCTTTACGCAGGCTTACTGCTTACTTCCCACCACAATGGCTGTCATCGACCGAGCAGAGTAGGTCCAGCGCAGACCACAGTTAGCCTACTGCTACCCGACGCGTGTGGCAAACTTGCACAGTTCCCTCACCTTCGCACCGCAAATCAGATGCAGCTTCCCAAACCCAGCTCGGCAGCGAAACACCCACCGCGTGGAGATTTCATATTCGCAAGCACTGAACTCTTACCAATATCTTGCCGCCGACGCTCGATCGACCAAATTTCATTCAGAGACAAAAATTTGAACTCGATGTTGAGCCGATGTTCTCCGTCACTAGCCCAATCGAGCGATCCAGCCCAACTCTCTCTCTCTCTCTCTCTCTCTCTCTCTCTCTCTCTCTCTCTCTCTCTCTCTCTCTCTCTCTCTCTCTCTCTCTCTCTCTCTGTGTGTGTGTGTGTGTGTGCGAGCCTATGTTTTCTTGAGACCGTGCTGAAAAAGATGTGTTCAACCTGTCCACTGCTGTTCACCCCTTACACACTGTGGACTCAATGTATGAGAGTGCAGACTACACAAATGTCAAACTATCTTCTCCTGGAAATTTGCACAAGTGCCTGCCTATATAGCCGTGCCCGATCGTGCGGCCGCAGATTTCCAACGATCCTAGAAGAAACCACGTGGCAACAACACCCACTCCGTTTTGTCCTTCTGCGCACAAGACTAAAGACTAGTCCATGAGCTTGCGGAATAGTCCATGAGCTTGCGGAAGATTGATGGGATGACACTCTTGGCTATCGGGCTTGGGCTTCTCTCCAAGATGACAATATGATGATCACGATGATCGATGATCGCGACCTTGATCGCGATAACGATAACGATGACGATGATGAGGATGATGAGGATGATGAGGATGATGAGGAGGAGGAGGAGGAGGATTGCTATACTGAAGATGAGGACAAGGATTCAAAGACTACAGCATTGGGGGAGAGGAAATGGGACGCTGGAACTGGCTATGGCCACGAAATTTATGGACATGTGGAGGATTTCCATCATCACGTCATGGATCTTTCACTAACGACGGGGGGAACTGACACTTCGGCGCATCGCTCGATGGGTAGCTAGCAGTATAGGGAAACGGAAGTGGCGGAGGGCGGTTGGTGGTGTGGACGAGCGATCGAGTTCCGTGTGGAAGAAGAAGGGTTCATTCAGTGAACAAGGAGATTATGAACGAAGAAGAGCTAACCACCTACCCTACAAATTACCACCATAGACTTCGCACCTCTACATCATAAAGCAGAACCTTGTGAGCACGTGCATCTGAGTTCAGTGGTGTTGTTGACCTTTCTCCTCAGTCCCACGCCGATCACACTGTTCGTCTAAACTGCTCTCGGATCACAGTAAAAGCATGCTCGGAAGCGAAGTAACGGGTCGTGAGTGATCTGAAACGGATTGCTCCCGAACAAATTCGAACCCTTGTATGTTTCACAAATGCCGCGTCGTTTCCAGCGTTTGCTCGGCGGCAAGAGTTTCGCACGCCAATGTAAGAGCACAGCAAGTACACCAGGCTCGTTCGTCTGGTCACATCCGCAACCTCATTCCCAGAACTCGTTCTGCTGTCTATTTTCTTCCCACTCCAGTCCTGTACGCTAGTTATGCTATGTTATGTTCACTCCGCTACTCTCCTTACCCCAAATCTCCCCGCTCGGCAACTCCCCGGGTCCAACGCATGGGGTGAGCTGCGATCCTCTGCGAACGCGTGGAAAGCGATAAGGCAATTCCGTTCCCCCCCTCACTCGATTGTCGAATTCCCGCGGAAAATCGGGAACTCGCCCGCGTGTTCCTTTCGCTTTCCCAGCTCCCTTCGCCCGAGTCTCTTTTCCCACTCCTTCCCAGCCCCCTACCTGCTGTAGTAGCCTTTCTTCCGCGCCCCCAGTAGGCCACCTACCGCAAGCTACGAACTGGAGCATGAAGGCGCTCGCCGGGGCTACTGTAGGTCCCACTTACACGAATTAAGAGATATTGACCGTAGATAGCACAGATCAACGGTCAGAATCTCGTAGTCCGTGCAAGTGGGACTTGCCCATGGCCGTGGCAACTCCACCGCGATATTGCATCAACACCAGACAAGTCTGTTTATATATATCCTGTCGGGTGTATTTTCGATGATCTTGCTCTTTTGTCTGTGTGGCATGGGCACACGAACGACTTCCGTACGCCAAAAGAAAGATTTTTTATTTTCCATGTTCCCTTCTTGTTTCGCCGCCAATGGACTCCGTCACCTCTAAACCCCACCCATGAAGGCAGCTTTTTCTGAAAAAAAAAAAAAGAAAGAAACGAGCGCGTCATTTTTTTACTTTATTTTTTTGGACCATATATCTATCGATCTATGCGTGTCATCCTATGCTTTTACGGCCTCGCCACACCACCCTCGAAATGTGAAAAAGACAAAAATGTGCCGGGTGCGTCTGGCCATGTTCTGGGGGAAGTTCGTTCTCATTTTGCACATTTCGAGAGTGGCGTGGCGATGCCCTTACTCCCACTTTTTCGCCTTTCAGCATTTGATGAACCCGACCCGTCACCTCTAAACCCCACCCATCGGCTCGTGGCGTTATCATCGGTCCGCAGTTCTACTGACGCTACGAGGCGGCGGCGCTGGCGGCAGCCAGCCGAAGAATTCGGCCGTGACACGTTGGCTCCAGCTGCCGAAACGGAAGAAAAAGAAACATAGAAAAACAGAAGAGAAGTGTAGCGATCACTGCGCTAAGGCCTTGAAAATCAAGTCCGGTGTCTGGTCGGGTGTTCGCGAAGCATGGAGGAGGGTTAAACCGGATATGCCGGTTTCTCCGGTTCCGAAAAGGGCTTGCTCAGATGTTCTTTGAGAATCCGACGTATCAGAGCAGAGGATGAGAATATGTTTGCAGCCTCTAGGGTCTCGCCGCACACAACTAGAAAATCCTATCGTAGGCTCCTTTTGGACAGGGCGCTGAAGACCAAAATCAAACATCACATCCGCGTGACCGTCAAACGTGATTGGCGGAAGAAAGTCTCCTAGGCTCGGATCAGAGAGGGCGGTATCTATTGTTGCCGGAAGACCCAGAACCACACCCACGAACTGTTGAAACACAGAACCAAGTTCGAATCCAGATACAATCAAATGACCAGAATGGAATCAGTCTAAATTACCTGGGACCGGTCAGTTCAATAAAGACATCTCTCTTTTTTTTTCTCTTTTTTTTTTGCTCAAAATTCTCACTTTATTATGAAGCAATCTTTGAAAAGAGGCCGGGGAAACTCACATTTCAACCCGGAGTTATCCTGGCAGCATCAGCCGGTTTAGCTTCTGCAAATTCAACCTCAGCAAATCTTAACTTCGAAACATGCATCTTACCTTCCTGCCATTGCGCTTCACAGTTCCAAATCTCTAAATGTCTTACTACCAGTAATCTTCCCTCTGACACTCCCCCCTACTTTACCTACCCCTTCTACTATACAGACCTAACAACGGTCTTTACCCGGTCTACCCCGACCGAGAGGAACGATTAGTTCAGCATTCCATTCCCAAGAACTAACACTTTCCCTGCCCACCCTTACCTATTTTCAACCTACTGCGGCCGCCAACTGGAACCGAGTGCACCTGGTTCGTCCGGGACCTTTGTAATACGTTACCTTCGGTTAATCCATTTCCCTAGAACAAGCTTACCTTCTGGCGTCACATATGTGACGAACTACTTTCCGTTGTCAAGCGCATCGGCCCCCGCCTTTTTGCAAAGCGCGGGAGCCATCCCGGCCATGTCACGCAAGAGTTAAACAAAACAAAATGAGAGACAACTTGGGAACGACACATAACAACCCCGCGAACCGCCAAGGCAAATGCGGTCTCGTTGTCCCTTCGTCGCTCTAGCCGGGTGCGCCAGCTATACATCCCGCGGTCCCCTACGACAGGATAGGTTTTCGCGCAGCATAAGCTTTCCTTCTCTAAGGGGTTGTCACCACCCTTAGGGGTGTATCCCTACCAAGCTACTGACCCACATGCGAAAACTTTTAAATGCAATCGCAGAGGTAGATCAGCCGAGGGCATTTGCTCGTTTCGGTGCGGTATAGGAAACATTTGGTTAAACGTCGAGTGGACCCGAACGTCATCCGTTCCTTAGGGCGTTGATCTTCTAAGTACGAGGTATACGCCAGTCGACTATGACGGTCTCAACCAAGTGTGAAACCCGAAAAATAATCCTAGTCCCTTGATAATTCATTGAAAACAAAACATTAACATCAATACACCTCACATCACATTACGCAAGATCGGGTTTTCGACTTGATGAGATGATTTGCCGAAATTAGTTTCCTCAACCTATATGACCAAAAATCTTTATACTGCCATCTTCTGATATGAAAGTTTGCTATTGACGAAAGAATTAGGAAAAGATCAACATTTTAATTATCGGATCATCATTTGACTCGGTAAAGTTATTTCCTCATTTCAAATCAATTTACATGGCATACATTGCTACACATTTAATTACCCCTCAATGCATAAGCATGATAGTGCAATCATTGGGTCAATCCAGATACTATCCATCCGGTTGCTCCTATCTATGAAAGATATTTTTATTTTTTTTTAATTTTATTTTATTATTATTACCCTCGTAGAGTGTGCGAGTTCCTCGTCATCAAAGGTCAAGGTGGTAATGCGTCCACCCCGCATAACCCGAACCATCCGCGTACCATAGAGGGAAGTCATCCGTGAGGCTATCCCCCAAACTATGATGCGAAACGGCGGTCGCATCCGAAAGAGGTGCCTAGTTGTAGTGTCCCTAATCCGAATGACGTCGTATTGCTATCCGGATAGGGTAATTGTAACACTCACAATGACCCGAGAAAGGCATTGGAGGTTACTTGCGCGATGAAAATATATAGTATATCCATAAAACTCTTCCGGAAGTCGAACCACATTGGTATAGACATCCGCGCGCGAGCCAAGAAAAAATCATTGCCTATCTCTGAGCGATCCAACGAAACCAACCCAGCGAGTGGGTGCATCATCCTGAACAAATAAAGGTCGCTCCACGCACCGAATTAGTTCCTCGTCCAATGTGTCGCAAACCAGCAAATATCTCGCCTGAATGAGATCCCACCGTCTGCTAACCATCTGCACATAAAAAAAAAAACGTCAGTTAGAGAGACGTTTCCCGATCTCATACGCCTCATCGTCAAATGTGATGACAAAAAAATGCTCTGAGCGAAAAATATTAAAGTTATTTGCTCGTACCCGTCTTACATGATGAAAGAAATTGAATGGGCCTTGCAGATCATTTAGCCATAACGTAATATGAAGAAACATCTCTTTAATCTTAAAAACATTCTCTTTAACTGAATTTGTCTTATAAACTATGATGAGATTCATATCTCCGAAATCTCGTGACGGATTAGGAGGCACAAAGTCATATCGCACAATATATTGTTCATGCTCTGTCATAAAAACATAACTCCGTTGAGGATTCCTCACGCTTTCATCCCAAAATCACGGCTCATCTCGCTAAAAAAAACTTCATACAGGTTATAAACTATTTGTCGTTTCCGTATCATATCGGCAGGTGATCATGTCGGCACTGCTATTCAATTTATTGTCACCTCTCATGTACTGAACAATCGAATAATCACCACTCATGTAGACATCTGGACGCCAAAATAATAACTTTGTCAAAATAAATTTATATATATATTGATCTTTGTGTTCAACTCCCTTTTCCCCCGGGCTGTGATTCTTGTGTCATCGTCCTACCACGAAGATAGTGTATACTCGCACCCCATTTGACTTTATTAGATACACGAACTGAGTTTTTTTTTACATCGGTTCCCCATACGTTGGTGGCACCTTAGACGACCACAAAAAAGAGGTACTGACTTCAGTCTTTCCCCACTTGAAAGCATGAGAAAATGATCATCCTTTACTCCAGGACACTCTACCCTCTATAAAATGGTATGGAATACCCCTCCTCCTCGTTTGAACACATTGTTCATATCTCATAAGTTGGGCTGACTCCGAGTCCATCGTAATACAACATGATATTCCTCCGTTAAACGGTCCACTTTGGGTCAATAATAGGGCCGACTCCTAAAACAACGAACCCCTGCCCCAGATGCTTCTTGAAAAGAAGTCTCAATCCCTATGTGTGATCATTTTCTTATACTTTTCACCGAGGCTCGATTTAGACGGAAAGAAAATAGGGTAGAGAATAAATTTGAGACTTTTTTTGACGGACACAAAAAAAAATTGTCATTCGGGATAGAATGGGAGGTTCCTTGGAAAAATACAAGGTGATTTTTTTACTTTTTTTTTTCGTCATCCAAAAGTTTTATTCTTTCCGCACCTGTCAATTATTATTTTTCATTGCGTTGTTCTTTTTGAAATGCAGACA